TTCCGTCTTACTATTCATAATATTTTGAATTTCAATATCTAATCGAGATAAATTACTATTAACCTTATTTTCTTGTTTTAATTTTTCAATCAATCCAGGTTCGATAAGTACCATTTTCTTTGCATTTGCCGTGTTAACTGGCTAGTCCATTCACTAATCCACTCAATATTGCACCTAATATTATTGGTAAGAAAGCCCCTCCTTTTTGTATAATTATATTTTTTCTTAGTTTATGTTTACACTTACGCACTAGTTTACGGAGTATATTTTTGTGTTTATTCAATTTTTGTTTATCTTGATCTTTAAGAGGTACTTTTCCTTGTAAAACGTTATGAATACACTCACAAATGCAGTTAATTTCTTCTTCATCACACGTTTTAAGTAATGCTCTTTGATATTTTGGTTTAAGCGTATGCAAAGCGTTTAGCAAATGTTTATGCGTTGTGAGTCGACGATGCATCATTTAGCAATGATTTGAATTGTTTGATTCTTGGTGTATTTAAACTCTTTTGTGGGGACCTAGACTGTACAGAAACCATTAAATGGGAAGACACTTGTCTTGATACGACAAAAATCATTGGTATTCTGTTTTAAATCTACCATTAAATATCCATGCGCCTCTAGAGTTGCATCCCTGTAGGCATCTTCAATGAATTTTTTTGGGTTATCTGGTGACACTTGTCGTGCTAAATATCTTATTTGAGTTTTATCTTGAGGGTTCTTAAAATATATTATATAACTTGAGTTTAAAGATATGTCTCTTTGCCCTTTACCCTGACGAAATAAATTTTGTGTTAAATAAAACACACTGAGATTCCTGTGATGACTACCTTTTGTGAATATATTCACAATTCTTCCATCAGAGTCTCTCATTAGATCATCAATAATAACAAGATGTGGGTTTTCACCATCAAACATATTAAGATTTGGAATTCCTTGATGATAGTTAACATTTAGTAAATTATATAAAGGTTGCATTTCATCAAAGCACCATGTGATCTGATTAAAATCACAATTACATATTTCTGTAACTGATTTTATGAAATTTGTTACAAAATTTGACTTCCCACATCCACTTGGTCCTGCTACAATAGCAGTAAACGGATGTATAAAGGGAAACATTACACACGTCTAAAGTTCTAAGGGGTGAAATAAAAAATTAAAGTGTTGGTGTAACTATTAATATACGAGTATTGTGTACTATAACTAATGTTTTTGGGAAATCAAACAAAATGTATGATTAATTTAAAATTTTATTTTCAAGCAATAACCACTTGTAAAAAAAACCCACACTTCAGCATAAGAACAATGTAGAATTTTGTGATTATTTTTTGCAAATATATGATTTTTACATACATAACGTTTGTTTAAATTTTGAAAATTAACCAAATCATTGTATTTTGGACATTTGTATTCTTCAATATTAAAAATTCTATCATCATTCGTCGTCAACATTTTTAAAAATTGTTTTTCTGCTGAACCACCTTTGTATGCGATCACTTCCTCTCTGAACAAATTTCTAATGTACCAATTTAATATGGGAATGATGTACTCTTGTTTGTAGGCACATTTTAATTCTTCGGTCACGTCAAAATATGGAATGCCGTGCACGTGTGTTTCGCAATAACGAACAGTTTTTTTTAGATATTAGTTAATTGATCTGCACATCTCCGGAACCGTGCATCCTACGCAAAAACGGACCGCAGATTCGTGATCAGAGCATGCCAAAACCTTTTTTTTTAGGATCGTGAGTCGACAAACGTTTTACCACTTCAGACTCAGTGAGCCAGAACTGGTACAACGTAACTACTATCCTCTTTAATGGTCCTTCGCAGCCGAATTGAAACCAGCGATCGACGATCCTCTTTAATAGTCCTTCGCAGCTGAATGAAGGCCAGCGATTGAAAACCAGCGTTTAAGTAGATTGTTCAACAAGGGTCATTTACAGCTATAAGAAGCGGCTGTGAAAAGATACCTTTTTGAATTTCGTGTCAAGAGGAAGACGCCCGAGCACCATTTGCCTTCTGGTGTTTCGGAAGAAGACGCCTGAGCTCCATTCATTATTGGTGCATCAGATGAAGATGGACGCCTGTGCGCCATTTCAACTGGCGTTTCAAAAGGGGCCCGAACGTCGTTGTCCCTTGTAACATTTTGGAGCTCGAAGAGAGAAGGCCCGATACCGTTTTAAATGTGGATGATCGGAGCCGAGTCCCAGGCCAACATAAAAGGTCTGTTGGAACAACGCTGGAGAACATATTGTTGCTGCCGGGAGATAGAAGAACCGGGATTGCTGCCGGGAGATAGAAGAACCAATGTTGCTGCCGGGAGTGCTCTGGGAAAGCACTCGTTGCTGCCGGGAGTACAAGATCAGTGGTTGCGGAGAGGGCGCCTAGGAAAGGCGTCACCGGCAACGGACACCAGCATATCAAGCACCGACACCTAAAGGTGTCAAAGTCAGGGCTTGGGCGTTTGTGCCGCCACAAAAAGCGAAGACTATCTCTGTCTTCTTCTCTTACTTTGACTTGTAAAAACATTTCTTTAATATCTGCCATCACTGCAACGCTTCCTTCTCGTAACCGTAATAAAACTCCGAAGGATGATTGCAGTAAATCAGGTCCTGCCAACAAAGCGTCGTTAAGGCACCGCCCGTTGGTTCTGGCAGCTGCATCAAATACGATTCGAATCCTTTTCTTCTGCTGGTGTGTAACCGCGAAATGTGGAAGATACCATGTTCTTGGAAATTAATTCACGAGTAACTATAAGATGCCAATTATCCTGACCAATTAATATGGTAGGTTTAGACCTTTCATAACATATATTCATCCTCAATGGATACCAAATGAACGCATCGCTTTAATAACTCTCAACTTACTGCTTGCGGAGAAGGATTAAGTGATTTAATTGTTTGTACGCTTATCTCCTCTAAGTTGCGTGAAAACATTCCTTTTATTCTTACTTTTAAGCGATTCGAAGTGTTGTCGCTAATTCGCTTACCGCCAATGCCCTGAATTCGTAACTCCTCTTTGGAGCCTCGGGGCGCTAACCGCTGAGCCATATGCTCATCTATGAGAGTCATGGTTGAACCTTCATCCAGAAGAGCCGTGGTCTTGACCTTACCTTTATGTCCATACTACTCGACCGGTATAATCTTTAAATATGCACATGTTAGTGCATTCACTGTATTTACAGTCGTAATGTGCGCTCGTTTACTCCCGTCGCCTTCCGATGGCAACGTTTCTTTTTCAGGGCTCCTGTGTAGAAGCTTATGGTGTGCCATACTACAACCATCTACACCGCACTTCTTATCTTTATATTTTTCCCACCTATAATACGGTGTCAAACATTGAAAGCATATATTTGCCTTTTTAACCGCTTCCCATTTATTGCGGTTGTCCATATTTTACATAGTTCGCTTAATGAATTTAAAAAATTATCCATTCTTTGTAGCTCTGGCTCCGTAGAAAACTTTGTTCGATATTCATACCACTTGAATTTAATCACAATGCCAAGCTTAACTACTATAGGGCTCACTAACTTCGGTGAGTGTAAATATTGTGGTTGTTTTAACGCACGCAACCATATTCATGACTTTACCGGCAAAGATGCCAATATTTCTGCCATCTTCTGCTAATTTTGGCATTTTCTTTACATTTTCAATTTCGGATAGAATGAGCATCTCAACTCTACCGAATCTTCTTTCCTGTGCATTTATTATTTCATCGGGTTCACATACCGTAAATAATAACGACCTTACCGCTTCCTTGGCGGCTCCTCTTAAGGCCTTCCTTAGGCGTGCCACGTTTTGCACTCCCGAAAAGTATTCCCGCGTGTCTTCGAACACCGTCTTGAATATAATCCATTCCCTTGCGTCTCCATCGAAGACCGGAAGCTCATGGAACATATGAGGCGTGGAAGTCTTATCTTTTCCCGCCATTTTGATCGCACTCACAATCGCGTCAGTCAACACTGACACTTCACTCGAGTGTGGTTTTGCGTGTGATTCCTTAGACGCTTCCTTCATCAGCCACGTCTGGCTGCACTTCGAAAACTGGCGCACTCATAATTGAGTGTTGAACCCAACTCCTTACGAATGGTTCCACGGTCGGCTGTCGTTGTCTTTTTGATGCCGCTTCCTTGGTCCCTTCTTGACCGTCACTTTCGGCTATCACTTCACCTCTTGTCACTACGCACTTCTGCGTGACGTTAGATCGCGTACCACTTACCTCCGTTCTGCTGCTCGCAGCTGTTGCAGATGTACTTGTATCCCATGTATTGGTGGATGTTTCTGTGGTAGCCCCACTTGATGTCGTGGCTGTGGTTGCTCCTGATGATTCTGCTTCTTTGGCCTTTCTTGACACCCCTTTTCTAGTCCTGGTGCCCTCGACCCTATCACCTTGTTCCTGTAACTTCTTTATGGCGCACGAGGAAACTGTTAGCGTGCCCTAAATCCTACCTTCCTATCACAATATCCTAACACTTCCTAACACTCCCTAACGTTCCCTAACAATCTTGGAACGGAGCCTACCGCGGTGAACAGCCCAAGGATGGAGTTCGTGCAGGAAAGGAAAGGTAGGTACTGCCCGTCAGTGTACGTAAGCTTCACAGGTTGCTCAGGGTACGGGAGAAATGACCGACCCCTCAGCGTGCCTACTCAAAGGCTCTGCTACACGCACGACGTAACTGCGCAGCCGAGCTGTTCTGAGGCAGACTCGCTCGTTAGTCTGCACCACTTCGAAAGGCGTTAAGCCCAAGCCCCGACTTTGACATCGTTAGGCGTCGGTGCTTGGCATGCTGGTGTCCGTTGCCGGTGACGCCTTGCCTAGGCGCCCTCTCCGCAACCACAGATCTTGTACTCCCGGCAGCAATGAATGTTAAGTGCCAAGAAATTGGTGAATGTAGCCCTCTCCATAAAGATATTGATATAGGTCTAGAAATTCGTCTTTTTCGAAATGAGCTTAGCGCTATGAGGAATGAGCTGAAAGAAGTCAGACTATATAACTATGCTAAAGGATACAGTTCTTATGTGTAATAAAAACCTGGAGGATATGGATTGCAGAGTCACCAAGTTGGAAAAACTATATGAAGAAAGTCTGATTAAGTGCGACACTAAAATACTAGAGGACACAATTAGTGAACTTAAGGTCCAACTTAATGAGAGAGATCAGGACCTCCTCGTCAAGGACCTGGAGATATCGGGATTACTGGAGCAAAAAGGTAAAAATCCTGTCAATACCGTGGCTGTGCGCTAAAAAGACGGGTCTCGATATTGATCATCGTGAGACAGTTCATGCCGAGCGTGCTGGTATTTTGCGTACATCTTATTACAATAACAATAGCGCTCAAAAACTCATGTCTACTGGACCCCGCAAGATTGTGGTGCGGAGCAGTCGGCGTGCGGTTCGGAACTCGCTACGTTGTGCGTGGATGCGACGCAACACAACGAGTGATTCACTGGATTTGCCCGGAGATCCGTGTAGGATTTACATTAATGAGCGGCTCACTCCCGTCACCAGGAAATTGTTTGGAAAGACACCAGAAGCAGCAAAAATGGCAAGTTGGCGCTACACAAAGGGCGGTCAAATATTCGTAAGGAAGGAAGACGGAAAGCCCGTAACACGCATCCGATCTGATACAGACCTAAGTCGTGTTTTCTGCTAACTCTGAGTTGGTTGTTTATACTATAATGTTTATGTACTACCTTTGTTTTTGTTATTTTAGTAATAGTGAGTGTTTAATTGGTTTTGGAAAGATGATAATTTTTCTTTTAAATATTTTAATATTATGACTAACATATTTGTATTACAATGTGACATTAGGGACACAGTATGTTATGCCACATTTAACTTAATTTTATTGTTTACTACATAGCTTTTTACCGACAATATTCTTTATACACGCCTTATTTTGCAGTTATAAGTCAATACACTGTGGTTTTTTTTTTGCTAATTTTAAGTTAAAGGTCACGATTTTATATTATTAACTTTGTAGTTTTATTTATAGTGAATGTTTGGTTTGTTTAGGAAATATAATGTTTTTTTTTTCTTTAAATTTGTTAATATTATGGATAACATATGGTGTACTATATTACAGGTTCGGTATGTCCTTTAACCTAAATTTATTGTGTAACAACCTATATAACTTCTTACCACAGATTACCTCCTTAGGAGGTAATCTGTGCTTCTTACCAAACATATTCGTTATACACGCCTTATCTTGCAGTACTTAATAGGTTAATACACTACAGCATTTTTGCTAATTTTAAGTAAAAGATTTATACACTTTTTTTTGCGCCCGAAGTAAATATGGGCAACCCTCCGGAAAGCGGGGGAGGGAGGCGGTGAATACTCATAGCATACCACGCAGCCGGCTGCGTGGTTATGTGGAGACTTTTACCCACTAAACACCGCCTTTTAGGGACTGGCTTAACGGTCTAACTGGAGATCTCTAAGCCGTATACGAACGCGACCCTCCTTGGCAGAAAGGAGGGCGCAAATAAGTGATACCAAGAAAAACAGATTATTCAAGAGGGCTCAGTTCTTCCTCATTTAAAAACACATTGGTATTCAGATTTGTTGCAATTCATTAATACACTTAGTTCTTTTGCCGTCTAAATGTAGATTTTTAACATTAAAATCAATGCATGTTTATACACTTTATAACATCGGAATTATATACTATCTTTGTGGTATTAATAATAGTTAGTATTTGATTAGTTTGGTAAAAATATTACTTCTTCTTATAAAAAATTTAAATATGGAAAAAAAAACTCATACTATAAGATTTTATAATTTTTGTTTGTGTTACACGTTATATCTTAGAAGTTTTATTTGGTAACTCAAATAGCCTCTTATTTGCAATTTTTTTAATGCTTGTATTCTTTTGTAGTAAAAGATCAAAAGACTTTAATTTGTCTAAAAAGTGCGTTCGTCTAGTGTGTGCTTGTGTGTTTCATAGGATAAATTATAGTGACTATATCAATTTTCTGTCTTTTTGCGAGTTAATAGCGGGCAGTGTACTGTATATGATATGTTATTTTTTTTGTTACATCAGTTTTCATATGGTTTTGCGTTAATGTATATTTATGTAATTATTTTTATTGTTAGTTACAATAAGCATTCACTTGTTCAAATAGAAAAAACTCTGATATATTATACTTACAAAAATGTATTAGATTGAATATTATATCATGTAACATAAATATATATCATATATAATATAATCATATGTATAATATGCATATATATGATATGTATATTAGAATAAACGTTGGAACCTCAATGCCTGTTGTGCATGGTACTCAATGTGGCTTATCAAACTGTTAGAAATGGATAAATCTATGTACCTAAAAGTACCAATACCTAAGTATCTCACGCGTATTTCCTCTCGCATATTAAGTGTCCCTCGACAAAGGTCCTCTGCCTTCAGAGGTAGTTACAAATATAGTCACTCACTGCTGGAATAATATACCTCCACCACTACTTAATCTAAAGAAATTAGTAAATTTTAAAATACACTTAAAAATTTTTGCTAAACGAACCGAAGAAACCGAAATAATTGATCTGTGTAATTGATTGACCTATATTTAATATAGTATTTCTAATCATAAATTTAATTTATATATTTAATGATTACTAAGTATTATCTTTCTCTTACCCATAATCGGTTCCTTCGATCCTCCGTCAATCTTTCTCTCTCTACACCTTTGCACTCTTCTTCCTTTTTCAAGAAATCCTTCACCGTAACCGCTGTGCGATTGTGGAACTCCTTACCTCTCCATATTCGTCGTGCTAAATCTCTTCACTCTTTCAAAATTCTTGTTAAATCGTATTATTTAGAATGCTATTAGATAAATTACTTTACCTTTCTCGTACTTTTTTCATTTAATCTACTATATGATATTTTATATATACCTTTCACTTATTTTTACTTGTATGTATTATTGTATTTTTTTATTATTATAATTGGGGTATCTTTATAATTTTCTCACCTGGTTGGGTTATATAAATATATAATTATAAATTAAAATGAAAAGATAAATGTACATAAATATCAATAAAATAAAATAAATACAAAAACTACATAAATAAATAAGATCCAACCAGATGGGAGCCCTCGGCAGGGGAGACCAGACGGCCGAGGGTTAGGGGGAAAGGGAAAGAAACCGGCGGACGATGCGGGCGGTATCGAGGAGCACCGCCTTCTGCATTTGAGCCCGGAGCGGTCCGTCACGGAGTTCCAGTCGCCTCAGATGACCCGAGAGACTGACTGGGATTAGCCCATTCGCAGAGACGACTACAAGAATAATTTCGGTCGACACACCACCCCACATGTCGGTCACCTCGTGAGCCAGGTCCAGATATTTTGTTTGTTTATCTGTTTCGACTTTCACGAAGTTCTCGTCATACGGAATGGTAATGTCGATCAAAAATATCCTTGACTGTGCCCGGTCCATCAGCACAATATCAGGCTTATTCGCAAGAATAGTCCTGTCTGTGATGATGGCCCGGTCCCAATAGAGCCTGGCGCGGTCATTTTCGAGCACGGCTTCCGGCAAGTACTTGTAATACGGCAATTTCCGGTCCACGAGACCGTATTTCAGAGCGAGCTCCTGGTGTAGAATTCTGGCTACTAGGTTGTGCCTGTGCAAGTACTCAGAGTTAGAAAGCGCCGAACAACCGGGGGATGACATGCCTAAGTGACTCCCCCGGGATGGCGACAAGCTCGACAGACGTCGACAGTGCCATCCTTTAGGATGTATCTCCGATTTATTATTATTATTATGTGGGGTATCTATATAGTTTTCTCATCTGGTTGAGTTTTATAAATATATAATTATAAATTAAAATGAAAAGACAAATATACATAAATATCAACAAAATAAAATAAATACAAAAATACATAAATAAATAAAAGCCCAACCAGATGGAAGCCCTCGGCAGGGGAGACCAAACGGCCGAGGGTTAGGGGGAAAGGGAAAGAAACCGGCGGACGATGCGGGCGGTATCAAGGAGCACCGCCTTCTTCATTTGTTATTATTATTTTTGGGGTATCTGTATAGTTTTCTCATCTGGTTGGTTTCTATAAATATATAATTATAAATTAAAATGAAAAGATAAATATACATAAATATCAATAAAATAAAATAAATACAAAAAATACACAAATAAATAAAGATCCAACCAGATGGAAGCCCTCGGCAGGGGAGACCAAACGGCCGAGGGTTAGGGGGAAAGGGAAAGAAACCGACGGACGATGCGGGCGGTATCGAGGACCACTGCCTTCTGCATTTGAGCCCGGAGCGGTCCGTCACGGAGTCCCAGTCGCCTCAGATGACCCAAGAGGCCGACTGGGATTAGCCCGTTTGCAGAGACGACTACAGGAATAATTTCGGTCGGCAGACCACCCCACATGTCGGTCACCTCGTGAGCCAGGTCCAGATATTTTGTTTGCTTATCTGTTTCGGCTTTCACGAGGTTCTCGTCATACGGAATGGTAATGTCGACCAAAAATATCCTTGACTGTGCCCGGTCCATCAGCACAATATCAGGCTTATTTGCAAGAATAGTCCTGTCTGTGATGATGGCCAGGTCCCAGTAGAGCCTGGCGCGGTCATGTTCGAGCACGGCTTCCGGCAAGTACTTGTAATACGGCAATTTCCGGTCCACGAGACCGTATTTCAGAGCGAGCGCCTGGTGTAGAATTCTGGCTACTAGGTTGTGCCTGTGCAAGTACTCAGAGTTAGAAAGCGCCGAACAACCGGAGATGACATGTCTAAGTGACTCCCCGGGATGGCGACAAGCTCGACAGACGTCGACGGTGCCATCCTTTACGATGTATCTCCGATAGTTGTTGGTCTTAATAACCTGATCCTGTATTGCACAGACAAAACCCTCGGTTTCCCCCGAAGAGGTCACCGAAACGTAGCCAGTTGAGGGAGGCGACTGTATCTACGAAGGGCTCATGTAGAGCCCTGTAGTACCTCCCGTGGAGCTCCTTCTCCTTCCATACGGTCTCCCGGTCGGAAATGCTAAGCACTGCTGGGTCCTGCCATTGCTCGTTGGCCAAGGATAGAGGGGTAAGCCCTTTATCACTAGAAATGACGTCATTATAGAATGGATCATCCGATCTCGCCAGGAAGTAATGACGGAGGCTGCACACTTCACGATTATGCATAGTGAGCGCGCTTAGAAAGCCACGCCCACCATACTTTCGCGGCAAGTACAGCCTCATTACCGACGATCTCGGATGATGCATCCTATGGGACGTCATGGTAGTGCGGGCTTTTCTATGCAGGGCGTTAAGTTCAGTCTGAGTCCACCTGAGTATGCCAAAGGTATACATAAGGACAGGCATGACCCAACCGTTATATGCGTGTGTCTTATTCACACCGGACAAAAGGCTATTAAGCACTTTGGTCAAGCGTGCATAAAACACGTCGCAAACTGACTGTTTCACACCAGCCTCATCGATACCGATGTTCTGTGACATACCCAGGTATCGGTATGTTTCAGCCTCGGAAAGGGTCCTTAAGTTGACGGGCATAGATAAATCTATGCCCTCAGAGTTAGCAACCCTTCCCCTCTCAACATGGAGGACCGCACACTTATCCGTCCCCAGCTCCATTCCAATGGAACTGCTAAACTCACAAGTGATTTTTAGCAATTCCACAAGATGGGAGCGACTGGAGGCGAATAACTTAAGGTCATCCATATAAAAAAAGGTGGGTCACTTTTGTCCCTCCTTTCCGTAGCTGAAATCCTCTCCCGGATCCCTCCAGTAAGAGGCAGAACCAGATTGGACTCAGACAATCGCCCTGGAAGATACCCCTTCTTATCCTTATGTGGTTCTCCGCAGCCATCATCCGCTCACCCAGATGACAAAGGATCGTACTCCACTGCCCCATACACTGCTCGAGGAAGTCTCTCACTGTACAGTCTATCTTGTACAGCTCGAGGACTCTCTTTAGCCATGTATGGGGCACCGAGTCGAATGCCTTTCTGTAGTCTATCCAGGCGGCGGAGAAGTTCCGACGGTTGCGTTTCACCACTTTTCCAATGACCGCGTCAATGAGGAGTGGTTCCTTAGTTCCACGACCACCGCCCCCGACATCCATTTTGAGCGCGTGACATCACCTGATTTAGCTCCAGGTGACGAGTGATTCTCGCGCTCAAAATGGATGTCAGTGTCTTATATATGGTGGGTAGACACGTAATGGGGCGGTATTTGCTCGGGTCTGTGGTAACCTGGTCTTTAGGAACCAAATGAGTGATCCCAGTAGTGAAGAGGCTAGGGAGCGACTTCTGGTTGAGAGCCTCTTGAAACTGACGGGCGAGCACAGCGTGACACACCATGAACCCCTTCAGCCAGTAGTGATGCAGTCCGTCGAGTCCCGGACTTTTCCAGTTCGGGGCTCTACGGACCGCCTCAGCTACGTCATCCGGCGTTATGATGACGGGGTCCATGGGCGTAATACTCGCACACTGACTCGTCACAACTTCCGTCCAAGGGCCCTCGCTCTGGTTTACGGGCTCTGACCACAGGCCACGCCAAAATGCGACAGTGTTAGCCTGATCCGGTCCTGGGCCCGCTCCACATACCTCTGGTCGCTCCAATGATTTGTAGAGCCTCTTCTGATCACTCTGGAGGAGACGATTCTGGTTGAACCGCCTTGACCTCTCGGTAAATCGGCGAATCCGCTTCCCCCAAGCGGCAATCTTTTGCTTCAGGTCGTCTATGCGCTCCGTTAGTTTCTGCGTGATATCCGGCTGGGACAAACTGATATTTGTCCCAGCAAACGCCATTCTAACGGTGCGCACAACCCTCGGTCTATTATTACCCGACCTGAAGCTTATCAGTCTGCCGATAAGGGCCATTAAAGAGGATCGTCGATCGCTGGTTTCAATTCGGCTGCGAAGGACCATTAAAGAGGATCGTGTGCTGCCTCTTCATCCGGCTCGACTGCACCATTAAACGGGGTCGAGTGTTGTTTCTTTAATTCAGAGGTCACACTACGTTGGGTTCGAGACAACGCAGTGGACACATAACGCCTACTTCAGAAACACACACACGCCTCTTCTTAAAAGATGGTTGATGCCTGAGATTATGGGTCTACACTGGGTCCCGATCTAGAGATAGAATACGTGGACTGTATATTTTCTTCACTTTCCCTAACTTTAGGGTCGACACTGGGAATGAAACAGCGATTTTCTTGAAAATTCTTAAAAATGTGATAACCGGGGAGCTTTTTGAATCTTGATTTTGAACTGGAGATTTTTTCGAACTTAACTGCAATGAAGATCCCGAACGAACTGCGAGCGTACGATATCGTCTGCAAAGGTCTTTTTGGTCCCTGCAGGTCTCGGGCCTCGGGGCCTTCCCCATTACTCGGGCAATCATCACAGCCCATTTCTATGGGCCGGTCCTGGGAGCCGTTCGGGAACGGCATTGTTGGCTATCTTTGCTTGGCGTATTGCGCGCCCCTAGGTAAGCGCTTCCGATGGGTCAGCAGTCTCAAAGCCCCACGGAGTCTCGCGGAGGACGGGTCTCGACGTAGGGCCAATTCTACCGACAGGTGTGCGCTCCTGAGTAGCAGCACTCCGGGCCTCAGTTGCGCCTCCCTAGTTCTATATGCTGGCCTGGCTAGTTCCTAGGCATTCCTGGCGTGAAATACTGTGTGCGAAGTACTGAATATGCCTAAATGGATACCTATCGGGTATCGTACAGGCATTCAGCATCCTATAGTAATGGTGGTTAATATAACGCATACCGCCATATTATAGCGCGCTATCTCTCCATAGCGCGTGCTATGTAAGTACTCGCCATGGCGCTATTGCGCTATGGCGTTTTGGTGCTATTAAGTATTAATACTCTAGCGGCAACTAGTTTAGCTGCAGCGCTGTTGCGAGGGATGGCAATTTGATTTAGTACTATTCATCGGACCTAATTTAGTGTTAGACGTTGTTTAGTTAGTGTATACTGTTTTTATATAGTGATCGAAGGACACAGTTTTCCTGCTACGTAAATATAGCTTAATCTGATGTTTGAAGTGTAAATAAAATATAGATACAAACATTGTATACAATAGTGTATGTAAATTGATTTTTATAAATACAATCAATAAACTTTTAAATCACACCTTTATTGGATTTATAGTTTGATATTAAGGTTAATATAACGTTTAGATCAATTATGATAAAAAATAATTAATTTTATTTCGTTTTAAAAAGTAAATGCCTTAAAAATATTTTTAGGATTATACAAAGTCGTAAGCTTGAAAAGTATGAAAAAGCGTTAATTGGTTTTTCTTTAACGCTTTATTTTATTTCATTCTAAAATGCGACCTATTTTTTTTTTGCGCCCGAAGCAAATATGGGCAACCCTCCGGAAAGCGGGGGGAGGGAGGTTGGGAATGCTCATGGCATACCACGCAACCGGCTGCGTGGTTATGTGGTGACTTTTACCCACTAAATCCAACCTTTTAGGAATTGGCTTAACGATCTGACTAGAGATCTCTAAGCCGTATACGAACGCGACCCTCCTTGGCAGAAAGGAGGGCGCATCGACTTATTAGGAAATAATGTTCTTATATAGCACGCGGTCCATCCAATGAACGACATGTAATGTAACGCGCTACGAGATATAAAGTGCTGCAAAACTTAACGCGCTTGCCGGCCTCTTACACGCTTTCTTATAAATAGTGCGCTAACATAGCGTATTTAATAGCACGCTAGAAATTTATAGTTTATAGTCTGTAGCGTACTATTGATTTATAGTCGATTTGAACAACTTTATTCTATAGTCTTCACAAGGACGCCAGCCATTATCTTTTTAGGGACTAAATATAGTGGTGAAGACCAAAGGCTTTGCGAAGGTCTGGCTTTACCATTATTGAGCATAGACTGAAATTCCTGCCGAGCAATTTTAAGTCTATCTGGAGCGAGGTGGCGTAGTGTGCTGTGTTGTGTGGCGTGGTGCTGTGCATGCCTGCTAGTCGAGTGATCTCGGGAAACTCTTCCAATATTTTATGATATTTTGTCTCACCAGTTAAGATTTTTATTAATGAAATATTATTAAATTTAACCTGTGAGGCAGTGGTCGTGGTCCAGGCACGACGTTCTCGTGGCAGCGACCGTGAGAAGAGGCAGAGATCGCTTCCAGTATCGACCAGAAACTGGGTCTTCGAGGCACGGTCGGTGGCGAATAAGCGGCCAGTAGACGTGGGGCAATCGTCGGTCGCCATTACCGATTGCCCATAGAGTTTTCTGACTTGAAGTCGCATTGTTGTACGCATTTGTCTGCTTTGTTGCCGTACTTGAAGTGATACCAGCAAGTAGGGTTTTTCCTATAGCTGGACTAAGATCTTGACGTAGAACGGTGTTTTCGTTCGATACGTCACGAGCATGATCGTGATCTGCTATTTCTTTGGGTAAGTGTAACCACTTCAACTTGCTTTCTGAGAGCGGTGACTTCATTGGCAAGATCAATGTGATTCGTTCAACAAAAATGAGCTTGGTTAGTGGACGCTACCTGGGGTGCTGATGGTACAAGGTCATGAATTCTGTCAGCGATGTTCAGCTAGGTTCTCAATTGAAGTTAAAGATTGACCTGCCAGAAATGTTTGGATACTAGTTGGTAGACGGCTAATCCACATGGTTTTCATGAACTCGTCGGAGACTTGAACGCCAGAGAGGCCTTTGAGATTTCCGAAGAACTGAGACGGCTTCCTATCCCCCGTTTCCTCATGCATCAGTAACTGGGTAAGCTTTTTTTCTTGGAAGCACTCAATCTTTTGACTAGCTCACGTTTTAGCTTGTCGTATTTATTCATCGCTGATGGGTTGACAATTATGTCCTTAACTTTCACTGAGTACTGGTTGTCAAGTTGCCATATTATAACATAATTAAATTTGGTTGCGTCGCTGGCAATTCCAGATACTGCGAACTGACCTTCTACTTGCGCAAACCATATCTCGGGCTCGTCAGGCCAAAAAGGTGGAACTCGAACTCTAACTTTCATAATTTCATTCTCTAATGTTCTCTCATCTTCGCCGATTTTGTTTTCCACGTTACTCATTGTGTCCGACCGGGGTCACCAAATGTGGGAACTAGTGTAGACGTCACAATGTTGTGGGGTGTGATAGCTGCTAGGTGCGCGTAGGAGTTGTACAAATAAAAGATAGTTCTGTACTAACACTCGCGATTCAATGTTCTCACACAAATATAATAAAGTTACACTGAAATAATAGACAGAAGGAGAATGCAACGGGAGTATTTAAAATAAGAAGCACAGAGATAGTGTTTACGCCCGATTGTAGCAAGCTACAACTTGCAAGGCGCTAGTTCCGAGCGGGGAACCGGTTTAGCGTTGCGCGGGAGGGAGGCATTCGCTTTCGCCTACGGCGGTGCCTATTAGTCTGGTATAATCTTGGTGCGCTACGGCCGGGTCGATTAGAGGTCGGGCGTTACCTAATAATTGCTGCGTCGCATTGCGATGACCTCCATTGTGTTGTATTATTTCGTTAATATACCTGACAACGAGGCTTTTCTTTTGAGTTTTGAGTGACTATTTTAACTTCTTTTTTTGCATCGACCGTGGCTTGTGTTGTGTTTTAATATCGCACTAAGTAATTTTGCTTTGTCGGTTGAACGCTAAACTTTGTGATCCGGGTGGCGATCGCTCTCGATTATAGTTTGTGCTAAGTGACGTTAGACTTTGAGTTCCGATAGCGGAGAGCGCCTTGTTGTTGTTGCCTCGATTACCTCGGTGACGTCAAGTTACATTACACATTTTCCTACACCACTCACACATACCATTTACTTACCCCTGACGGTGCCTTGTGGTCGACACTACCTCCGGAGCTCAGTAAGTTTGCTTATACAGCCGTTATAAATTAATTATCCATCGGCCATTAGGGCCTTACCCAGTTGCTCGTCGAGTTGGGTTACTATGGGTCCTAGCCCAGTCGACTTTTGTCGGGGTAACTGAGGGCCGTAACAGATAGATAGAAACTATACATAAGATAATAAATTAACAGAATGGGCTCACCACAAATTGTGGCGTAACTTAATAAAATGCATGTCGATTTATTACTTGTATCTCTAGATTACACTAGTCATATTAGTTTTACCGCATCTAACGGGAATACTGAGAAATTAAGGACCTATACTACCTCAGCTCAAATTCCAATTTCGCCGCCACTTTCCCGGGCCACTCGTTCGCACACTATGCGAACTCGTTCGCACACTATGCGTGGCTCGAGGTCACGCGGGAACACGAGGCCAAAGCAATTTTGTTAGAATAAAATAAACTATCAGACGAGCACTAAGTAGGTAGTAAAGTTTTCAGTCGTAATTTAATATTAACTTGTCATTATATGAACATAAAATTATATGTCGCAAATTTAATTTCATTGTACATACTAACGGCATATTCTTCTAACTAAAGTTTTAAAAATACTATAAGTAGACAGACATATTCAATTAAAAAGGATGTGTTTATTTTTTATCAAAATGTCACAAATAGTCGTAGAAAAAATAAAAATTGATGCACATTTTTTCACATATTTTGCTAATACGGATGAATCATAAACTATTGCAATGAGGGCTATTTTATTTTTGGTGCCTGTTTTGATTTATTGTACAAAGATTTCGATGAAACCACAGTCCGCGCAAAGGTACTCTGTGAGGCCGCGATCGGCCGCAGTCGTGAGTGGACACTGTATCGCCTGTTTGCAGCGGCTCATTCTGAAAAGATCGCTGTACATACACAAAATATTAGAAAAAAACAAATTGGAAACATAAGTACTTGACAAGTGATAAAATTATTATTTTTATGCCCACAGTTTTTTATTTAGGTAAAAATAAGTATGATTTATATACATATAAACTTACCTACGGACTTGATAGAGTGACCTGAAGGTAACTACCACTGCAACTCCTGGACGAGCGGAACTAGGTGTGCCGAGTTTGGGCTCGTTTTGTTAGTTATGATGAGACTTTACCGCCGGTCTTAATGGAGTCACCTGAAGGTGTACTTTCGTGACCGCTATTTGAACTTCTCGCAGAGTAAAACTAGGTGTGCCGAGTTTAGGCTCATTTTGTTAGTTATGATGAGACCTTACCTCCGGACTTAATGGAATGACCTGAAGGTGTACCGCGCGGCTGTAGGCATTTATTTTAAAGATACAGCCGAGTTACAATACGGTATAGATATTACCGTGACTTGGGTGTGTGACTCGTGTCGTCAATGTGTTCGATTCTATACCTATCAATTTTGTAAACGCTTTAATATTTTAATTTTACGTCGTCCTGTTGCGTAACGTGTGTTCTGAGCACAAGCGACACAACCCCCCCGTCCAAAAGCCGAAGCCAAAGTGAAGTGAGTGAACGTGAACGACAACGACGGTGTCAGGCGCAGTGTTGGGAAATAGGTGTAGGTGGTTCGAAAGTATGGTGTTGCCAAGCTTGAAATTATTGTATTTTCGGTAGAAATATTGTTTTTTTTTTGCAAAAGATTTATTTATTTATTTAAGCTGTCTAAATCCAAATTCAATAGGTTTTTACTGTTTCTTTATATTTGCATAAATTAAAAACATGTTATTAATGGTTCTTTTTATTGAAAATTATAAAACTTAGGGCACGGAATTAAACAATATGAACTAATCAGGAATGAAAAATTCGAAGGCGTCTTCTTCTTCGAGTTCAAAATCTCGACGTGTAGATGTAGACGGATTTGATTGCAGAGAAGTTGTTGCATACAGGACGTTGGAGACAATTTTATTTGCCATTTGTCTCGTGGGTTCAAATGATATACATCCCTTTTCAAGATGTTTTGCGCTGTCAGAAGCGATAACCACATTATTAATAGTGTTAGTCAAAATTCTATTCCGACTTTTCGTCTTAATAAGATTTATCTTGCTAAAGATGCGCTCGCAATCTGCATTGGCGTAAGGGATGCATAAAACGTCAAGAGCGAACTGTGCGAGAACAGTAAATTCTTTCTCGCCGCAAAGGTTTTCAAATGTTAACAATTTAGACCAAAACAGGTCGACTTCTTTTTCTTGAGTTATGTCATCAGGTAGACATCTTAGGGGGAGATTTTGCCACTGGTCATCTAAGGATTGCAGTAAACTGCCATCGCCTGTTGCAGTATTATGAGTAATTATTCTGGGCAATATTGTAGCCAACGGCACGATGGAAAGCTTGTTCTCTCTGTGGTCGCTCGAAAGAGCTAATTTAGGATTTAAAGAGCTTATTTCCGACATCACTTTATCTGAAAAGTCCCAGTGTTTTTTTATTTCAGAAACAGCTACCATGAGTAAGTTCCTACACCTATTGCGGAAATCTGTTATTTCGGTAGGATTTCTTTGGATGTCTTCATTACTTAGATGAGTTAAGAGGATACCTTGAAAATAAATCGTATTATTAAGTTTTGGGGGCGTGGCTTATTCCTTTGTCGGTGAAGCTAACGGACGACTGCGGGAGTGTCAAAATGAAAGTGATGCAATGACTTCATAGTACGCAAATTATGAGATAGCCATACCGAGCAAGCGCTCGGAAAAAACTAAGTAAGCGCCAAACAACATTTTTATTTATTTTAACAAAAATTCGTTATGGATTAAAAAACTGGTTTATGAGAACTTAGATATGATTATTTACTATGCCTTAAAAATAATTCCATGAAATTATTCGTAAGAATATTGTGGTGTCATCGAGAAATGTAAATAATTAGAGTCTACTTTGCAATTTTTTTCTATCGAGAAAATTACATGATATCGTGTTTTCCTTTTATGCAATCTAAGATCATATAGTCAAAAATCATGTACCAAAATTTTGGTTTGTAATCTATAAAACTTAAAAAAATATATTAAATAGAAAAACCACCAAATTTTCGAGGTATCACCTTAATACACCTACTCTTAAATATAATTGTTGTACAAGGAGAAATTGTAATTGATTCGTGGGATCTATACCTAGGCTGCACTAAAAGTATCGGGAACGGAATATTTCCACTGTTCCTGTCATATTAATATCTTTTTTAATTGGAAACTCCTTGGTTTTAAAAATCGAATACCATTTATTTATTTAAAAAAAAGATTCTCGGTCTTGTCACAAGGTTTTGTCAAACTTGTTTAGTCGTTGAGAAAATGGAATTGACTCGAGAAAATTCAAGAGCGATGATTTATTATGACTTTCGAAGTGGTTTAACACAAAAACAGTGTGTTGACCGGATGATTTCTGCATTTGGTGATGAAGCCCCATCCAAAACTGGTTTGCTGAATTTCAACGTGGACTTGTCAAGCTCAGTGATAATCCCCCCTCAAGGTCGTCCAAAAACTGCAGTCACCCAAGAAAACGTTGATGCTCTGCGTAAGCTGATTGAGGAAGATCGACATGTGACATACCACGAAATTCAGGCAATTTTAGACATTGGCATGAGTCAAATACAAATAATCTTGCATGAACAATTAGGTGTAAAAAAGTAGTTTTCCCGATGGATACCGCATTCGCTCTGTGAAGAGCAAAAATCGGCTCGCGTTACGTAGTGCGTCAGAACTCTCGAAAGATTCCACGCAGGATCCTCAAATGCTGTATACAACATCGTATCAGGTGACGAATCCTGGATATACACGTACGAACCCGAAACAAAAAACCAGTCACGAGTTTGGGTGTTCGAAAATGAGTTACAGCCAACAAAAATTGTTCGTTCACGGAGTGTTGCAAAAAAAATGGTGGCCACGTTTGTCTCCAAAACTGGCCATGTTACGACTATTCCTCTTGAGGGACAAAGAACGGTTAATGCAGAATGGTATGCTAGCATTTGTTTGCCACAGTTCGTTTCTGAACTCCGTAAAGAGAACTGAAACCGACGCATCATCCTCCATCACGACAATGCGAGTTCTCACACCGCACACAGAACAAAAGAGTTTTTAGACCAAGAAAACATAGAATTATTAGACCATCCGCCGTATAGCCCCGATCTAAACCCTAATGATTACTATACTTTCCCTAAAATAAAGAATAAATTGCGTGGACAGAGATTTTCATCACCTGAAGAAGCTGTGGACGCCTACAAAACGGCCATTTTGGAGACCCCAACTTCCGAATGGAATGGTTGCTTCAATGATTGGTTCCATCGTATGGAAAAATGTGTCAAATTTCGCGGAGAATAATTCGAAAAGCAATAAATACATTTTTAAATAGTAATGTTGTGTCACTTCCTTAATTCCCGAAATTTTCACTGCCGCCCTCGTATTAGCCAGGGGTGTTTTTGAGACATAATCATTTTTCATGTAACAAAGTAATATTTCGTTGTATAGCTCTCCTACTTTTTCATTTAGTTCAGTTACAACCACTTTAGTTGACTGAAAGTATGTATTAAAATTTGTGAATTTTGACAATATCCACTGCAAGAAGTAAAAATATAATTTTAAGAAAGGATCACGGTGCCAGTCCAAAATAAATTTCCCAAAAATTAATCTCTCTGAAATGCCCATATCTGTAAAAAATAATGTGAGTGCGCTCCACTGCTCTAGAATTCTATTTACCACTGATCCAAGAGACAACCAGCGAGTTTGTGAAGGGTGCAGCATTTTGTGCGGTTTAAGATTAAGAAAAGTTTGAAACTGCACTAATTGTGCAGTCCTTTTGGAACTTCCTTTAAAGAAATTGTAAATGGATCACGCCAATTCCTCACACCGGTTAGGAAGGCTTTTGCATTCACTCACTTGTACACAAATGTGCAGAGTAGCAAATACTCTGCACATTTGTGTACAAGTTTACTTCAGTTATTTCCATAGCATTATGTCGTATGGTATTTTGCTATGGGGACACGCGACTGACACTGAAATTATATTTATTTTACAGAAGAGGGCCATTAGAGCAATATATAATTTAAAACCAAAAGAGTCACTGAGACAAAAATTTAAAGAAATTAATATATTAACTCTGGCCTCTCAATACATTTATGAAAATGTAATGTACGTACACAAAAATAAAAGTAGTTTTGCGAAAATAAGTGATATTCATTCTGTAAATACTAGGAACAGACACAAGCTGGTAGTACCAGTTACTCGACTCCACCGAGTCAGTAATTCATTCTTGGGGCGATGTATACGCTTTTACAACAAAATCCCAGAAAATATACAAAATTTGTCATACACAAAGTTCAAAAATGTTATTAAACTAAGTTTGTATAAAAAGGGTTATTATAATATTAAGGAATTTATAGATGATAATAACCCCTGGGAAGGGTGATCGCTACCAAGCTATTTCTAATTTGTCTTGTGTTGTTGATTGTAAACATGATTGTAAGCTATTATTGGAAAAAAATAGTCCCGCTGGGTTTCTTGCTGGTTCTTCCCAGGACAGAGGTTTTTTTTTGCGAACCAGTGGTAAATTAAAAAAGTGACCTTCAATAAGTATTTTTATAATCTACATTGAATAAAAAAGTTTCTATTTCTATTTCTATTTCTACACTTTACTATTATAATACCCGGGTAATCGATTCTAAAGCGACTTGCGACTGAATTATAAGACCCCATCATTGTATTGCATCCGTCGTATCCGAATCCAAGAATATTTGCATCTGAAATATCGTGCTCTATAAAACTTTGCTTTATTTCATTATACAGTCTCTCTGCAGTAGCACCTTCGTTAGCAGCTTCGCAATCCCCTTTGAATATAGACCGCAACTCCCAAAACCGGCTCTCAATATGGCCACTCTCTTTATTGAAAAATCGGACCATTATACAAGTATTCTTCTCACATCAGTAGATTCATCAGTCAAAATCGAGAACTTAGAGTTTCTTAATGTATTTGCTAAATCTTACTTTATATCAGGTCCGATTACCTTCGTAAGTATCTTTGTAACTTTTTTTTATTAATAGTCATTTTCTGTATGACCTCTGATTCAGGCACACAATCTTTTAATAACTTTCCCAAATGTTCGGCAGTCTTGGATGAAATATTGTGTTCAGTAAAGAACATGGCCAATTTTAGTTCCATTCTCCTACTTTTGTTAATCGTGACATTCTGCTGAATTTGTTCAGTTGTTTGAATAAAATCACGTAAAGTATTTCCTCCGCTTAATTGTCTCATGCTTGTTTCATGCTTCTTACTGTTTGCATGAAGTTTAAGAACATTTTTATCAACTGTTATAACTGAGTTGCAAACCTTGCACATAGCCTTTGTAATGTCAGTATCGGGTACAATCCATTTTTTAAACAAGGGTCTTTTTCCCACTCGTATTTGTATTTTTGCGGTTTATGCTTTTTTTATTTTTGTGTGACTTGATGACTATAACTCTGTAGAACTTCGCTTGGGATTTCTTGGTGGCATCCTATCTGAATCGGATGAACTCATTGTGCTTGCTCAACTGCAATATAAAAAAGAAAGAAAGAAAGAACTATTTATTTGATAATCACACTTTACACACAATGAATATATAAATTACAATGGACAAAGAATATGCATGCGCAGGTGTAAGACTGCTTACGCATTAAAAATTATTTATTAAGCAGAACATGCATGATGTTAATTAATAATGAAACAAAAAAATAATTAAAAAAAGAATTTAAAGATAAAATGTGACATCAAATAGGTCTCCAACTCAGCATAATGCTGCAGACGCAGCGCTGGTTTTCAGTTAGAACCTTGTGACTTCACTGACGGTGTGTGAACCTCGAATTACGCGTAACTACAACTTATAGACTTATAGTAATTAGGCAGTGGGTTAAAGAGTAGTGCTAACGAACACAGTTAATACAGACATACTGTATTAATATCAATATAAATGGTGTGCAGTACATACACTATACCTATACTTACATAATATAACATATTTGGTTCTATGGGGAAGACAAAGCAAAGTAGCAATAAAATTTATGATTTTAGTACATATATAATTTATATTCTGTACTCAAAGGGACACGCCATGTTACGAGACCTCGTAGATTATTTTTTAGAAAATAAAAAAGTAAGTTTAAAAATAAATAAATAATAAATGATCATTCATCACATATGTAACAGAAATAAACAATAATCAATAATATTTGAACATGGTGTAAAACAGTATAAATATTATTACTATTTATACAGACATATTTATATGCCCAAAAAGGCCTCAATGTAATTATGAGCTGGCTAACACATAATAAATTAATGATAAATGTCTCTAAAACTAAATATATGTCGCACGCACGCACGCACGCACGCACGCACGCACGCACGCACGCACGCACGCGACGCACGCACACTCTCGCACGCTCGCACGCTCACACACGCGCACGCGCACGCGCACGCACAGACACACACA